GTCCCAAAGGTTCTGGTAGGATGTGTTTTCATTCTCATTTGATTCTATGAATTTCTTTATTCCATCCTTAATTTCTTCTATAACCCAGCAGTTTTTGAGCAAGGTGTTGCTCAGTTTCCATGGGTTTAATTTTTTTTCCTTGCTTTTTCTGTTATTGATTTTATGGCTTTATGGTCAGAAAAGATGCTTTGTAATATTTTGATGCTTTGGATTCTGTTAAGGCTTGCTTTATGGCCTAACATGTGATCTATTCTGGAGAATGTTCCATGTGCTTTGGAAAAGAAAGTATAGTTGGCTGCTGTTGGGTGGAGTGTTCGGTATATGTCTATGAGATCAAGCTGGTTGATTGTTGCATTTAGATCTTCGGTGTCTGTTGAGCTTCTTTTTGGATGTTCTGTCCTCCACCAAAAGTGGTGTGTTGAAGTCTCCTACTACTATTGTGGAGCTGTCTATCTCTCTTTTCAATGCTGTTAGAGTTTGTTTTATGTATTTTGGATCCCAGTCGTTGGGTGGGTAAATATTTATTATAGTTATGTCCTCCTGGTGTACTGACCATTTAATCATTATATTGTGTCCTTCCTTATCCTTTGTGGTGGATTTTAAAGTCTATTTTGTTAGAGATTAACATTGCCGCTCCTGCTCTTTTTTGAGAATTATTGGCTTGATACTTTTTTTTTCCATCCTTTGTGTTTTAGTTTGTTTGTGTCTTTAAGTCAAAGGTGTGTCTCTTGTACGCAGCATATAGACAGATCGTGTTTATTAATCCATTCTGCCACTCTCTGTCTTTCTTGGTGCATTTAGTCAATTTACATTCAGTGTAATTATTCATAGGTATGAGTTTATTGGTGTCATTTTGATGTTTTTTTGTGTGTGTTGTTGATAGTTTCTGTGTTTCCACTTAATTTTCTGTGCTGAGTCATTTTTCTTTATGTATTTTCTTTTCATCTTTTTCATTGTTGTGATTTTGTATTTGCTGAGTCTTTCTATTTTGTTGTTTTTTACTTGGCTTGTAGGATTGTTAGTTTTCTTTGTGGTTACCTTAATATTTACCCCTATTTTTCTAAGTTTATACCAGTCTTTTATTTCTTTATATTGCCTTGACTTCCTCTCCATATGAAAAATCTATGTCTACATTTTTTAGTCCCTCTTTTTTAATGTTGTCATCTTTTACAAATTGACATCTCTGTTTCCCTATTTTCAGTGCTTTAGCTTTGATTTATTTTTGTGACTTCCCTATCTGGGTTGATATCTGGTTGCTCTGTCCTGTGTTCTAGTCTTGGGTTGTTATCTGATGTTATTGATTTTCTAACTGGAGGACTCCCTTTAGTATTTGTAATTTTGGTTTGGTTTTTGCAAATTCCCTAAACTTCTGTTTATCTGGAAATGCCCTAGTTTCGCCATCATGTTTGAGAGACGGTTTAGCTGGATATATAATTCTTGGCTGGCAGTTTTTTGCCTTCAAAGCTTTATATATGTTATCCCATTGCCTTCTTGCCTTCATGGTTTCTGCTTAGTAGTCCGAGCTTAATCTTATTGACTCTCCTTTGCAGATGACTTTTCGTTTATCCCTAGCTGGTCTATTCTCTCTTTATCTTTGGTTTTGGCAAGTTTGATTATAATATATCTCGGTGTCATGGTTTGAATTATGTCCCCCAAAAAACGTGTGTATCAGTTTGGCTGGGCTACGATTCCTGGTACTGTGTGATTTTCCTATATGTTGTAAATCCTGCCTCTATGATGTTAATAACAGAGGATGGGTGGCAGTTGTGTTTGTAAGGCAGGACTGGATCTACAAGACTGGATTGTGTCCTGAGGCAATCTCTTGAGATATAAAAGACAGAAGTGAGCAGTGAGACAGGGGGACCTCACACCATCAGGAAAGCAGTGCCGCGAGCAGAGCGCGTCCTTTGGACCGGGGTCCCTGCGCCGAGAAGTTCCTAGTCTGGGGGAACACTGATGAGAAGGCTGAGAGAGAGAAAGCCTTCCCCTGGAGCTGACACCTTGAATTTGGACTTTTAGCCTACTTTACTGTAAGGAAATAAACTCCTCTTCGTTAAAACCATCCACTTGTGGTATTTCTGTTATGGCAGCACTAGATGACTAAGACACTTGGTGACTTTCTTTTTGTATCTACCTTATGTGGGGTTCGATGAGCATCTTGGATAGATATCTTGTCATCTTTCACGATATCAGGGAAGTTTTCTGCCAACAAATTTTCAACAATTCTCTCTATATTTTCTGTTATTCCCCCTGTTCTGGTACTCCAATCACTCGTAGGTTATTCCTCTTGATAGAGTCCCACATAATTCTTAGGGTTTCTTCATTTTTTTAATCCTTTTATCTGACTTTTCCTCAAATAAATTGGTATCAAGTGCTTTATCTTCAAACTCACTAATTCTGACTTCCATTGCCTCAATTCTGCTCCTATGAGTTTCTATTGAGTTGTCTAATTCTGAAATTTTATTGTTCAGCTTCTGAATTTCTGATTGCTGTCTCTCTATGGATTCTTGCAGGTTGTTAAATTTGTCATTATGCTTTTCTCTAATCTCCTTAAGTTTCTCTATTCCTGTGTGATGGTTAAGATTGTGTGTCAACTTGGCTGGGCCATGATTCTCAGTGTTTTAACGTAATCACTCCCATGATTGACTATACTGTGAGTAGCCAATCAGATGAAAGGGAGTCTCCTTGGGGGTGTGGCCCGCATCTGTATATAAGCAGACATTCTGGCTTTTTGCTCTCTCTGGATCCTGCAGCTGCTTCCTGTCACCTCATCTCCTGTTCTTGGGACTTGAGCTGTCAGCTTATCTGCCGAACCCGGGATTCGTCGATCTGCACAGCCTGTGAGCGGGAGCCCTGCTTGCCAACCTGCTGATCTTGGGCTTGCCAGCTTCTGCAGCTGTGTGACTTGGGAGAGGCCTCTACCCTGATCCACGGACTTGGGATGTTCTAGCCTCTACAATTGTGTGAGCTGTTTCCTTGATATAATCTCTCTCTCTATATATATTTATACACTTTACTGGTTTTGCTTCTCTAGAGAACCCAGCCTAAGACATGCTCGGTCTGTGGTTTGCCTAATTTCCTTTCTGATCTCTTGATGAGTTCTGTATATTAATCTTTTGTATTCTGCCTCTGGTAATTCCAAGAAATTCTCTTCCTCCAGAAAATTTCTATATTCTTTATTTTGGGAGCTTGCTGAAGCCATCATGGTCTGCCTCTTTGTGTGATTTGATATTGACTGTTGTCTCCAAGCCATCAATAAGTTATTATATTTATGTTTGCTTACTGTGTCCTAGATTCTTGTTTTGTTTTGTTTCTATATGCCCAAATAGGCTGCTCATGTGAGATAACCCGATCACTGTTGCCCCTGAAGCTCCAACATCCTGCCACCAGGTGGCCAGATCTGCCACTTAGTATGTGAGCCCAGGAGTTCACCCACTCCTCCTGTATGGATTCAGCTCAAGTATCTAGGTAGTTGGCCACCAAGTGTGTGGTGCAAGCTCTCACCAACAGTCCAGATAGGCATGGGTGATTGGTGTAGGCACAGGCATTTGGCTGCAGCAGGGGCACACAAGCTGAGCAAGGCAGGGGGCCGACAGCTGCTCCTGAGTGTCCAGGAAGAAAGCATGTCTCTGTTTCCTAGAACACATAGGTGGGTGGGTTTTGCAGCTGGACTATGAGCACCCAGTGCTGTTGGCTGTAAGGACTAGGGGGCACCTCTTATTCTTGGACCCCTGTCGCAGGTGGCTAGGTGGCGTGGGTGGAGCCACCAGTCCTCAGGCCCCTGATGTGGGTAATGAAGACCCTGCGTAATGGGCAGAGCAGTGTCAAATGTCACGAACCTGCCACTTCACAGCTGAAACAGTTCAAGTTAGAGTTCCGGTATATACCCTGTTGTATTGCAGTAATGAGGGCCTATGCTGTTGAAATGGGCCCACACAAGTCTATGCAGGGGGAAGGTACTCAAAGTCCGTGGATCCCTTATACCTTTGCCTAGGCAAAGGAGCTGTGCCTACCCTGAGTTCCTGGCTTAGAGGAGCCATCAGATTATTTTCTTCCCCTGTTTGTTAATTTGTTCCCTCTCCAAGGCCAGGAAAATGGCTCAGGGCACGTATTGGGTCCTACTTCTGGCCCAGGGGACTCAGCAATCACTGAAGCCATCCTGGACCCAGTGCAGAGCAGGGAGCAGGGAGGTAAATGGGAGAGAGGTTTTTTCCCCCAAAGCAGGGTGTTTTTGATCCATGCATTAGGCCAGATGCAAGGGCTGCTTCTCACTGGTTCTGGATGGCCAAGTAGACTCTCTGCCGCTGGATCTCTCCTGATGTGGAAAACACCTCCTGAGCGCCGTTGCTTGCCTGCCTCATTGTGCACCCTGAGCTGATCCGGGCTGAAGGGCTCTGGCTCCCACTGGGTCAGGTCTGGCAAGTCCTCGCTGTTTCCAAACCATCTCTCCCTCCCCGTGCCACTCAGTCTGATTCCTCAACTTTGCCTTTGGTGTTCAGGGCTCCTAGATTGTCATATATAATCAATTCACTTGTTTTTTGGGGTCTTTGCTGTAAGAGGGACCACCGGAAGCATCTGACTATGCTGTCATCTTGGCCCTGCCTCTGCTGAATTTTCTGCTAGGAGTCTGAGTAAATTTGCAATGAGGAATAAAAACGAAACTTCTAAGAAAATGGCTTTGTATTTTGTGGCTGTTACAGTAAAACCTGAGAAAGTCAGAAACTGTGTAAGTTGGAAACTGGATTGTCAGAGAAGGAAAACTCAAATATTTTCCACTAATAAACAGCGATAGAAAAGTGGTAAGACAGCACCCTGTCAAAAGCGGAAAACTTGCAAGACCTGGAAAAACAAGGCAGGCCCATCAAGTCGGGTTCTCACAGGTTTCACTGGACATCTGGATGTATGACAAAAATTGATGTCAAATCTTATATGTTTGTCATTTCATAAATGCTAGAAGGATCATGCTGATCTGGAAAGCTTCCAGAAAAAAAAAAAAAAATTAGTGGTGGGTGTTGAGCACTGAGGGGCCTCACCCGCTCAGAAGCCAAATTCTGAGCCTGGCCAGATGGATCTCCACCAGCCAGGAACTGGCTGCTACCAGGTGCTTCACAATGAAGAGGATAATTCCGAATTATCAGCTATAGAGCAACCATCGACTTCAAACCCAACACCACAAATTGTACAGACTGCTCCTTCAACACCGGTACTTGAAACTGACTCTTCTCCTCCACCTTACAGTAGTATTACTGTGGAAGTACCTACAATTTCAGATACAGAAGCTTACAGTGAGTTTTATCCTGTGCCACCTCCGTACACTGTTGCTACCTCTCTTCCTACATATGATGAAGCTAAGAAGACTAAAGCTGCTTCAGTGGCAGCTGCAGCAGCAGAAACACCTCAAAGAATTCAGGAGTGTCCACCAAGAGATGACTTCAGGGATGCAGACCAGCTTAGAGTGGGTAATGATGGCATCTTCATACTGGTGTTTTTCGTGGCATTTATTTTGAACTGGTTTATATTGTGCTTATCCTTCTGTATAACCAATACCACAGCTGGAAGGTATGGTGCTATCTGTGGATTTGGTCTTTCATTGATCAAATCGATCCTTAATGTCAGGTTTTCTGATTATTTTACTGGATATTTTAACTGGCAGTATTGGCTTTGATGGATATTTCTTGCACTTGGCCTACTCCTTTTCTTCAGAGGATTTGTCAATTATCTAAAAGGGAGAAACATGTCTGAGAGTATGGTAGCTGCTCACAGAACAAGCTATTTCTTCTTCTTATAAAGACTGCATTGACCAGACATTTCTTTCCTATACCAATGTGAAATTTCCAGATGATTTGTAAGCCTACAGTTTTAATAGAAGACTATTAATAACAGAAGAAAAATTAGTGAAGAAAAGACACAGCTTCAAAATTGAATGCCAGGGTGCCTTATGCTTAAAAGCTATTTCTGTTCATTCTCTTAAATATTTATATTTCATTTGTTTTGCACATTGGCATATGTGCTCATTTAAAAGATTTGCATACACTTGAAATAACAATAAAGTTGATAGCAGTAAAATCCAGTCACATTGGGTTAATCAGTGTTTGATGTAATTGGAAGAGCTGAGTGATAAACAGTCTTCCAGCGTGTAAGTGCCACTGACTTCTGACCTGACATTTAGTATAATAAATATGAAACTATTAACCATGTCAAATGCTTAGTTTCTGGCTCTTAGATTTACCTAGTAACTCCACACAGAAAACATCCTTTGTTTTATATAAAGTTTATTGAAATCTGCAGTGCTGATAATTAGAAAGGTTCTGTCAGGTTTAAGCCATGATATTTACATTATTTAGCAAAATTCGTTCTGTAAATAACTGAGTTAAATTACTATGTCTATTGTTTTCTTAGAAATTGTGTCTAGATATCTATTCATTAATTTTAAATTAAATGAACTTAATATATATAGAAAATCTGGGTGTTAAAAATAGAGATTGTTTTAAGACAGACTTTAAGAAATTGTGAGTGTACCAAATGTCCTTTATAAGAAAAAAATTTTTTTTTTGAAAGGTATACCAGTTCTGGGGATTCTCAAATGAGGAGCTTAGTTTTTTAACATTGCCCATCTTAGAGATTCTTGCAGGAAGAGATAGTATTATATTTAAGACATTTTTGAAAATTAATTCTCTGAACAAGTTGTTCCCACTTGCAACTGTCTTTTAAAAAGCCAATAAAAGTATCTTTCAATGTCATTGTAATAATTTTTCTTTAGATGTTTAAGTTTAGCAAATAAAAACTTGTACTATTAATAGCTTCTTGCTTTATATATATATGATTAACTTGTAAAAATCATATCCTGAATTGAGATATGCAAAATTTCTGTTTTCCAGTTATGGGAATGTGTACATTTGTGAAGTATAGGGGTAGGGTGTGTATGGGGTGTGTATGTTTATTGGGAGCGAGTGTGTGTGGGGGGAGGAAGATTAAAAATAGACTATAGTAACCATTATTACAACTGGAGTCTACATTCATAAGCTACTGTGTTTTGCATCTTGCAAATCATTTTATATCTCATTTGTTTGTTTTCAGTTACGTCTTTGCTTTTGAATTCCAGCATTAAAAATGATGAGAATTATATCATCTTTTAAACTTAAAAATCATTGAATACAGCCATATAAAACATAAAATTGCTTGTTTATTATTAGACAGTGACTACTACTAAAAGGTACATCTAATTGTTCAGGGACTTTTTCCATTTCTTAAAAACAAAATTTATTATGCTTTAGAAAAAAAAAAATTCAGTGGGACACAGCTTCTCTTGCTTTTTGCTGCCAGTGGCGGGTGAAAATTTAAACTCTGGGTTTAAATTTAAAACGGAACAAGTCTCTGTAAGTAATTATTTTTACTATGGTTTTTGCCTACGCAGGGCAGCCAACACGAAAAGAGAAGCTATCTCCAGACTGAGATACACTTCTGGATTCTACAAAGCAGTTCTTAGTTGCTAATGAGCTCTTGTAAAATCAGATGTCTGATCCTTAGAGACTGATGATTTTCCAGTCTAATGTGCATATTTTTGAGCGGTTCAACTAGGACTCAGACTGACAGGGTAAAAAGGGCTTAAGAAAGCCTTGCTTGTCACTTGGACTTGGAACATGGCTTTCTGGCCCTGCGGCATTTCAGCTTTGTTACTGCAGAAAAGAAGTTGCTGGCTTTTTTGGAATCTTGAATTTACAGATGCTAATTGCCAGGACCTGACTTTAGCTGAAACCTGACACTGTCATGGGTTGTTACAGCTGTAACAAACTGAAGGCAGGCAGAGGCTCAACGAACAGAACTCGAACTCAGACCCTGGGACTATTGCAAATTTAAGACACTCCTCTCTGGAGCCATAACCTATGAAAACATCATGTGTGCTGGTTGGACCATATGGGTCACTTGAAGATGCCAACAGGAATGGGTTTGTTCTCTCATGGTGATACCTAAAACAGCTGCTGATGGTTCTACATTCTGATAGACTCATTGCATTCTTGACTCCTGTCCCAAGCTGCAAGTAGGGAGAGGGTACATCACAGGGAGCGTGACTGCTCCACCCACTCGACAGATTGGACTGGGGACCACCCTCAGAGATGTCTCACTGCTGTTGACTTCTGTTCTGCTGTCCAGGCTAGTTGCAGTTGGCAACAAAGGACTGAAAGCCTGACTCTACTTCCCTTATGTTTCTCCTTACACATACACCTGAGTAAGGCAGTTTGATTATTAAACACAGGGATTGATCTTTTCTAAACTGCTCCCTGGATAAACGATCAGGACAAAAGGGGTGAGAATTATTCAAACCCATGTGAAAATTTTTGAGAATTCAGGATTTTGTCCTGACCAATTCCCAAACATTATGTCTTTCTAGTTACATTTTATAAAAATATTTTCCTGTGACAATGCTTTTTCTCTCTCTTGTATACAGTCTTTCCAGACATAAGGGATCAGTAATCCTGATGGCTTTGGTCTTCAGGTGTAACATTAGTGCTCCAACACAAGACAGTATACCTGCCCACCAGGAGACCAACTAGCCCAGATGGCTGAGAAACACCTTCAAAATGACATTGATAGAATGCCTGATGTGTTTGAACACCGACAACTGAAGAGGAGGAACAACTGGGAATAAAAGAGGGTGAGAATGGTTCCACACCTCAAAGAATGTAATCAGTATCACTGAATCGTACACATAAAAATTCATGTATGTCCTGCCGTGTATACATATTCTCAACAAAAATTCTTTTTTCATCTCTAGGATCTTGCAAAGATCTCACCCTTGAATTATCTAGTCTTGTTGACTATACCAATATTAAAGTAAAATAAGCTATGAAGCATGCTTATTTATCCATTCCTCAAAGTAATGTTAGTTTTTTTGAAGAATCACACTAACTACAGAAAACCACCACCAAGCCATATGGAACCTTTATTTTTAACGTGATTTCTGTACATCAGGGACATGAGTAATCCTTTTACAAATAAAACTGATTACTAGAAGAAACAATGACAAAACCAAACTGCTATTTGGTATGAATCCATAGGAGTTTAAGCTTCAAATCCAGCCAAGAAGTTTGCTACAATCTCTTTTAGCTTTGCGTCTGACTGTTCTGAGATCTTTCCCTCAGCCCTAGACAGAAATGAAAGCAGATTATTAGTTCTAACCTGGAAAAAATTCAACGACTAGCTCAATTAAACAGCCTAACTATACTGTTCAAAAGAATTTTAACAAGACTTAAAACTTTTAACTATTTACAAAAAGAGTACGTCAAGCCCACGCTTCACAGATTAGACTGTACTATAAAACATGAAATAATACTCATGAAGAGTGTGCTTCTTAGTTCAAGCAGGTACACGAGACCAAATGGGTAGCTCCTGTCCAGAGGCAGGATGAGAAGGCAGAAAAGGACAGGAGCTGGTTGCATGGACACAGGAAACCCAGGGTGGAAGGGGGAGTGTACTGTCACATTATAGGGATTGCAACCAGTGCCACAAAACAATATGTGTATACATTTCTGTATGAGATATTATCAAGCTGTAAACTTTCACCTAAAGCACAATTAAAAAAAAAAAAAAGAAGAGTACGTCAATTGTATTCATACCTGATGGTGCCCAACAAGGCCTGGTGCTGGCTGATGACATGAGACAAGAAAGCGGTCTCAAACTTTGTGATCTTGCTGGGCTCTATTTTATCAAGATACCCCCTTACACCAGCATAGATGACAGCCACTTGTTCCTCAATAGCCATGGGAGCTGAAAACAAAAGGTCAAGTGACTTGCTCAAATAAGTGCCACTTTACCACTGTCAGAGAAATTTCCCTTTTCTTCCAATTACTAACACGTCCCTAACATCACCTACTCTTACCTTCCGAGCAAGCTACAACTCTGCATTAACACTCCTTCCCATCTTCCACACCAGGAAACAGTTTTTCCTTATATCTGCAAGCCTTGATGTGTAATCTTTGGGCATATCCCGTAAGCATTCTTTATAATCTGGCAGTGCTTACACTGTTTGGGGTATAAATAATTTGCTGACATTTTATGACAAAGTAAAGACCTATTAACACTCTTTTAATTCTGCCAAATTCCTTAGTCATATAGTTGGGGTAGGGAGGGAATCTAGGTCTTAATTCTGAAAGAAAGGTGTTCAATAAAAATTCTTAGTCATTTTTCCGGGTTATTAAGTTCATAGTCTTTACCTTCAAATTGTGATAAGGAATGGACTCTATTCGAGTAAAATACGAATCATTTGCATTCAAAACGCAATACCTTTGATGAAAGATTACAGCATGTATTAAGGTTTGTAGGAAACTATGTGGTATTCCCAGACCTTAACATACAGTAGGAGCTTGACCAAATAAAGCACAACTCACAATACTGTCCTTGCTTCAGCAACTCTGTCAGACGCACACCACGACTTAAGAGTTGTTGTGTGGCAGCATCAAGGTCAGAACCGAACTGGGCAAAGGCAGCCACCTCACGGTACTGTGCCAACTCCAGCTTCATGGTACCTGCCACCTGGAATACAGAAATTGTTGGCACTTACCTCAATGATACAAACTATTCTACAAATAAAATCTATACATTTTAAGATTTTAATCTAATGATATTCCCTCCCTGCCAAACTGATGCAAAATTACCTGCTTCATGGCCCTGGTTTGCGCAGCAGACCCGACACGGGACACAGACAAGCCAACATTAATGGCAGGGCGGATACCTTTGTAGAACAATTCTGTTTCCAAGAAGATCTACAATATAAGGAGAATACACACACTAGTAAGCCTAAAGTAAAAAAAATCAGCTATTTTCAAATTTAAGTCACTGTGCAAAAAAAAGCCCAAAACCTCTGAGAAAGAATGCTAATTATCTTCTTATAGTAAAGAGCCTCCCAAATCTTCCACAACCCAAATCGACGTACACATCTTATTGCTGACATTAGGAAATGTCCACGGGATGAGAAAAAAATAACTTTATATTGAAATATATACACATGAAGTGATATGATCTCTAAGATTTGTTTCAAAATTATCTTGGAGGTGAGGGCAGAGAATAGGAGTGATCAGAGTGGATATAAGTAAAACAAAAATAAAGTACGTCACACCATGAACTGATAATTGAGCGAGATATGTCACGTTTTGTTATATTATTTTCTCCTTACTTTTACATATATTTGAAATTTTTTATAATAAAAAGTAAAAGGGGATCTTACTTGTCCAGCGCAAAAGAGAAAGAAGGAAACCAAAGACTCAAAGAAGAAACTAGTCTATAGGACTAACAATAGTCTCCACCAACCACAGCCTCATCTACCCTGAGACCAAAAGAACTAGATGGTGCCCAGCTACCACTACCGACTGCTCTGACCAGGGATACAACGGATGGTCCTGGATAGAATGG